TAAATAACAAATAAAGTAAAATAAATTAAATAAATAAAATAAATAAATTAAATAAATAAATAAATTAAATAAATAAATTTATTTAAATTACTTAAATAATATACTGACCGCAGAGTTATTTGTTTCGTGCGGCGCGAAGTTAAACAAAAACATCAAAAGAAAAAGCAAAAGCATCGGTAGGAACTGAAAACAAACAAATAAATAAATAAATAAATAAATAAAATATTATTAAAATATTATTAAAATAATGTTTAATAATAATAATAACAACAATAATAATAATAATAATAATGATAATGATAATAATAATAATAATAATAATAATAATGATAATGATATAAAACAATAAATATAAGATTGCTTTAAAATAAACAAATTGAAACGAGAAACGCAAAATAATAAAAAAATAATAAAATAATATTTAAACAAAGCAATAAAAATATTATTTACTTTAAATAAAGAAGTAAAAAACTAAAAAAGAACTTACAGAAAACTAATAAAATATATTTTATTATATATTATATATTTTATATTCATTCAGAAATAAATAAAATAATAAACCCTAAATAATTAAACGTTTCTATACAAAAGCAATAAAATAAAATAAAATAAAATAAAGCAGTAATAGAATAAACAAATAAACAAAAGACGCAAACAAAACAAACAAATAAATATAAATATAAATATAAATAAAGAAATAAAAACAAACGAAAATAAATAAAACAACAAATATAAAATATCTTCTCTGCGGACTTGAACAAAGGCGTGTAGATTATTCCTGAAGCAACATAACACAAAAACCCTAAACCCTAAACCCTAAACCCTAAACCCTAAACCCTAAACCCTGAGGCACATACATGTACAGATGAAGGGGCAGTAAACGCAGTAGATTTTCTCTGCTTAGGGTTTAGGGCTGGTACGATGAGTGAGTGCAAAGGGTTTAGGGTTTAGGAGTTAGTTAGGGTTTAGAAATTAGGGTTTAGGGTTTAGGGTTACTCTTGATAGTGCTGCTGCGGGCCTCGGTGCCCCCGCCCCGGCGTTGAGCGACTGAAGTCTCTCACACTCTGACCAAACAACACCCGAAACAAATCCTGCAGCAGCAGCAGCAAAAGCAGCAGCAAAAGCAGCAGCAGCAGCAAAAGCAGCAGCAGCAGCAAAAGCAGCAGCAGCAGCAAAAGCAGCAGCAGCAGAAGCAGCAGCAGCACCAGCACAGGCGACAGATGGATCTGTACAGGAAGCAAAAGAATAATTCGAGTGTATATACACAAAAATAATATTTCGGGTGTACATACACCACAAATTTAAATGCAATATTAAGGTCAGCGTACAGCTGAAGTGTATATACAGCAGTAGGCTAAACAATAAAATATAAATACATAAATAAATATATATAATATATATACATCTATATATATATATATAAGTATATTATATTTAAAAAAAGATTTATTATATTAATAACAAGCAAAAATATGCATAGACACGCGTGTATTTACATAAATATATATATATATATAATGTATATATATATATACATATATACATTAATAAATAAATAAATAAATAAATAAATAAATAAATAAATAATAATAATAATGACATACTTCTGCAGTCATAAACTCTGCTGCATTATTTCTTCGCGTTGTTTGCTGCGGCGCCTCTACAGCCTCAACTCCGCCTAAGTCGTATGCACGTCTTTGCTGCGGGTCCAGTAGAGTAGCAGAGACTTTATTAACCTGATAAACGAATAAATAAATAAATAAATATACTTATTAATTTATTTATTTGTTTATATACGTAAAATACACTGAAAAGCTGTATATTGATCGGCTTTATTGTAATATATTATCTCTCAATAATTATTTCTATCATTTATTATGCACGTCTTTGACACCCACAAACCCTAAACCCTAAACCCTAAACCCTAAACCCTAAACCCTCAACTGCTGACCTTCTTGAATGCATCTTCTGCTTTTGGGGCCTTATTTTTATCCGGGTGCAGCATCAGAGCCAACTGCAGTCGCAAACAAACCCTAAACCCTAATTTATAAACCCTAAACCCTAAACCCTAAACCCTAAACCCTAAACCCTAAACCCTAAACCCTAAACCCTAATACCTTAAACCCTAAACCCTAAACCCTAAACCATAAACCATAAAAAGATCGGAAGAGCGTCGTGTAGGGAAAGAGTGTAGATCTCGGTGGTCGCCGTATCATTAAAATAACCCTAAAGAACCCTAAACCCTAAACCCTAAACCCTAAACCCTAAACCCTAAACCCTAAACCCTAAACCCTAATACCTTAAACCCTAAACCCTAAACCCTAAACCATAAACCATAAAAATAAACCCTGAACCTTAAACAACTGTCAACCCTAAACCCTAAACCTTCGAGTTACCCGTCTGCATGCTAAACACCTAAACCCTAAACCCTAAAACCCTAAAACCCTAAACCCTAAACCCTAAAACCCTAAACCCTAA